CTCTCGCGCTCTCTCTCTCTCTCTCTCTCTCTCTCTCTCTGTTCTCCGGTTGCGGTCGCTCTTCGGTGGTGTGAAAGAAAATCGGACGGGATCAGTCGATATCTGCTCATAAGACTGACAAATCAGTATTTTTATCACTTGCAGGATTATATCTATGGATCAATTATTGATGGTCGTCTATTTCTGGACACTGTGGTTTTTGTTTTGTTGAAATGAGCGGCTGTTAAAGGTGAGATGACGTTATTTTTCCAATTCTGCCGTTATTTTCTTAACATTACGCTTATCGCTTGAGCGAAAAATGCTTGTAGTCTTTCCGTTAATATTTTAAGTTGTTCACTAGGTTTCTAATATGATTAGACGGGTCATCTTAAATTACGATTGTTATTGATACAGTTAGAGGATATCAAAAACATTATTCTGCTTTTCGTAGTCATATTTGTTATAATAGTTGGCGTGTCTTTTAACAGATCTGTCGCTCGAGTCACAGTTTCAAGTGATGTTATAAGCTCTGGATCTGAGGCTATATCCATCAGTCCCAGGACGGGGAATAGGGAATGAGTCAATCTCATATCCACACAGCAAATCAAAACGAATTAAATCCAGATTTCATCCTCCGCTTTGAGTGGAAATATGGACTGCAGCGGTGTTGCACTAGGTTTGGATGTGGATAATAGTTTTGGACAGATGATTTGGCAGAACCTTCCAACCATGGTCCATCTGGATCTCCTGTCCTCTAAAAGTTCTCCTCAGTTCCCGGAGATGCTGCTATCGCCTTTGTTCCAGGATTCACATTCCAAAGCCTTTCTGCTGTCAAGCCCAGAGCCACTACTCACCCTCCTTTCCTTGAACAGAAACTCACCGGGTACTCCTGCAGGTGCTCCGCAAATGTGTTTCATGCCCACACTTGAAGACAATGGACAAGACGTGGTAGAGCCCAGTCACAACCTCACACGACATGGTCGGTCTACTAGAGATTGCCAGGTTGGCACCAAATCACTTTCCTTAGAGCAAGCACCACATTGCAGCAGGAAGAACAATGCATTAAACCAAACATTGGTTAGCACTATGGAGGAACTGAAGGAAGGGCTGATGATTCAGTCATTGTGGCATCTCTCCCAGCATGTTTTGTTGGCAAATCGAGCCAGTCATTTACAACAGAGGGTTTTGGCGATGCTTGGTGAACATGCTTCTAGACACTATAGCCACCAACTGGATGGTTTGAAGAAGAAGCTTCTTGAAGCACGCCATTCCCCCAAGTTGACATCAGAGCCTCTTTTTGAGACTTTTAATGCTGTAGAGATGCAAGAGGTAGAGAAGGCTCTTATAAGAAACCTCCAGTACCCTGAAGCACATGGGCAACCTCTGAAATCCAGAGATTTACAGAATTTAGCACACAATGGTCGTGCTGTTCTGCATGGAGTGCTGGAGGCTCTGGACTCAGATGCCACCGTAAGCAGCTCAGATGAGGAGTGGGACCACGAAGACGCCGAAGGGACCTCAGTGGAATCACAGTGAGTATAATGTGATGTTGAATAGTATTCTTATTAATGTTGACCTTCTAATCAAGACACATGGAAAGAAATAAGCTAGACCTTAATGGAAGACATTAACAGAATGCCATTAAATGTGGTTAACCTCATGTCATTCTAAACCGCTATGCTTTTGTTTTTTTTAGGGAAAATGTTCATCTTCACAGCTCAGTTCATATTGAAATAAATAACGGCTCATAGGACAAAAAGTACCACAAAAATGGAAGTCTTCGGAATTCATAAGATATATTGCTGCCAAACCTTAGAATTGATCGTATGAGTATGCAAGTCACAATGCTTGGTGGTTATAAACAAAACATACAATGCTCAGTCTCTGACTTCAAAATAAATACAAAAAATAACATTGGGTGAGATCTTGAAATAGGTGAATTGAAGGGTAGAATTAATCTCTACCTAGAAGTTGCCAGGCAGTAAAGAACTTTTAATGACAGGCTGGTTGTTAGTCTTTGGCAAGAAGAGAGTGAGTGTAACAACAAGTTTGGGAAAACAAACAGCCCAATAGAAGATGGAGGAGAGAAAGCATTTGGCTCTGGCAGTGTTATATGTTTCTTTAGGATCTATGCACACAGAAACAGAGGCACTCTGTTCAGTACACAGCTGCTGAGAAATTGTCACCATATTTCTCCCCCATGTTGAAGATTTTTATCTAGTATGTTCATGTGCAGCTGGCTCTTCCTCCGATCCTGTTTCTGTGCAGGCACACTGAAACAGACAGCTGCACTCTCCTTTCCCTGGGATGAGTAAATAAATAGAGATCAGGCCCTTCACCAGCCCGTAGATCAGTGCTTTCATGTCCCTCTCTGTGATTTGCTCGCTCACTCTGCACTTACGCTGTAAGATCGCTGCATATGTGCAGATCTAGTCTCAAGATACACATCTTTGAAGGGAATATATCTTTCAGGAATCTCTTAGTAAATTGGAGTGGTTTATTGGAGTGCTTTTTAGTAGAATCATTTAAAATCCCCATTCAATATGACTGTTATTGTGAGACTTGTCGACCAGTTCGAAGGGAGCATAATTTGCTTTTTGGGTTAAAAGAATTTCTTAATATGAAATTCGAAGAGTATGACAATTACATTAGACTGTGCAGAAATTGAAATCTACACGCTAATACACACTACTCATAGTCACCAATGCAATTTGAACAACAATAATAATTTGAACAACAATAATAATTTGAACGGTTTGATGTGATACGAGTTAACCGATCTTTAGATTTAATCACCGTTGGTAGCGAGATTTATGGTAATGCTTTTTTCCTCAGTTGGTCAGAACAAACGTGGCTAACTTGTTACTTACTTGTTCAGATGGCAATATACTGTGAAAATTCTTATTTGGGTCATATTCCAAGACATAGGCTAGAATCTGTGATTGCGAAGTACAGTAAATATCCACACCGGTGCGGTGACTGACTGCCACACATACTCTTCAGAACATTAGATTCATCCGCGCTAGATCCGAGCCCACTCACAACCCACGCAAGCTAGATAATTCCGTGCACAGCTGCAATTCCAGGTTTTCAAACAGATATGGCGACAAAGAGGCAAAACTTACGGACTGCAGCTTTAAATATAATAACCCTGACATGTATAAATTTAAACTGTTAAACTTTGTCTCATTGCACTTAAGTTGCCTCAAAACAACAACTGTCAATAAAAATGAATGATTTCCAATTACTTTGTTGCTGCAAATTGCTGTAAAAGTGAACGCCCTTTAGTAGCAGCCAGCTGTGGCTGTTGGCTCTGCCTCTCCTCAGGCCATGACAAAATAGTTTCAGTGACTTTTCCATATGTCCCAGCAATCTCAATTACCATCTCTCATCAGAGTTTCAAGCCGGTGGCCATTGCTTTGGATTCTGTGGATAAGCTGCAGATGAGAACATTGTTGTAAGGTTTAAAATGAGTTATCTTGCTTTGGCCACAGAATTGCTTAAGGGCCCTTTTTGTGGACTGAGATTAGGCTCTCAGCCAGTCAAGAGCAGCATGTTTGACGTCAGTACTTTCTTTCTTTTCACAGATGTTCACGTTTTGAAGTGGTTAAGTTGTGGTCACTTATTTTGGAAAAAACTAGAGCCCAAAGCTTACAGAGCTTTAGTGTCTGCTTAGTTGGCTCTGGAATATATGCAATGTAATAAAGAGTTTATGTAGTGATATTATTTGGTCTGAACACCCTTGAGGCATTAAATAAAAAGCAACAAATCCATCTGTGGTCTCATATTTTCAATTCTGGAATGATTTGGTTGCTCACTTGTTCTATGACTGCCTTTTGTTTTGTTGAAGCAGGGCTATGCACTGTGTTTGTGTGAGAAGAGAGAGAGTGAAAGTAGGCAGGTTAGAGAGATAAAGTGTTTGTTTATAAAGGGTCCATGAAGACTGTTGCCCCAGCAGGAGACCTCATTCTTCCCAGTGTATTTGTATGGGTTCACTGCTGCTCCACTGCTTTGTAGATATTCCTGGAATTTGCCAGTGTGTGTGTGTGTGTGTGAGAGAGTGTCTGCACTAATCTATATGTCTTCAGAGAGGAAGACAAACTTGTTTATATTTGTATGGGTAGGTCCTCTTCTGCAAATTTTTTCGGTTTAAAAATGAAACATCCTAGAATCACAGGTTAATGAGCAAGCAAACAATCATTTATATACACCGGTTTCCCAAACACTTTTCCATGATTGCTCCTAGAGGGAATGTACTGTAAGTCACTTTGTATAAAATCTCAGCTGAATTTCCTTTTCTAACTTTTTCTGTCCCTGTCTTTGTGGGAGGGTAGTTGTCGTGTCTGTGAGTGGAGATGGCTGAAGGACAGAGCTGAATTCTGCAGTCGCTGGACATGGCTGCAGATGAGAGTGTCTGAACTGGACTCTCAGATTCAGCAGCTTGGAAAACTCAGGCAACAGATTCTTTCTAATAAGGTAAAGAAATTATACAGCATCTATAGATTAGGAGGGAAATTTGGCCGTGCTGTTAGCACTGTGGGGCAAAATTCAGAATTTAAGAATTGGCCCTCTTTCAATTCATGTGAGAATTTAAAATGAATTGGCAATGTCCAGAGGATGGTGAATTGGAAACTGAAATAGAAATGAATGAATTGCAAATTAGTAACAGCAACACAACAGATTAATTTCATTAGTCCAATGTCAAAATATAAATGGTGTTACAAAACATAAACAATGACATCATAAAGTTTGACTTGCTGTATTCTTGACTAATATGTGGAATAATTTAAAAAAGTAAATATTTTAATTCCTGCATTAAGCACATCAAACTGGCCACCACATTTTTTTAGATAGCTTTATAAAAATACATATTGTCAACAACATTTTAATCTATTGATTATGAAGTGTTTCTACCACAATTATAAAATGAATTTATTAAATAAAATGCACTTCATAAATATAGCACACTTAATGTCCCAGAATGCTCTAATTAAATAAAATATATAAAACAAATTTAATTCAATTAAACATTGAGTATTTTGTGTTTTTATGTTTTCTTGGCAACTAGCTGAAATAGTACAGTTTAGTTTTTTTTAAGTATATTTATATATTTAATTTTAAGTAATAAAAATGTTTTATTAAACATTTTGAAATGTAATACACACTGAAAAATGTATAATAAAATGTATTATGATGAACCACATTTACAAAGTTACAAAATTTCTTTGACAAATTTCAATACATTTTAATTAGAATTAATTAAATTTATAATTGCAATTCTGAATCTATTTGTTACTTCAGTTCAGATTAAATTCAAATTGATTCATTAAACTGGAATTTTAAAAGTGTTTTTCAGTTAAAGGGTTAGTTCACCCAAAAATGAAAATTAGGCTGTTTTTTACTCACCCCCGATGCATCCTAGATGTATATGACTTTCTTCTTTCAGACGAATCCAGTCGGAGTTATATAATTTTCATTTTTGGATGAACTAACCCTTTAAGTTCTCAGTGGCACCTTGAGTGTTTTTAGATGCATCAATTTTTTATTTTTTTAAATATGTGTCCCTAACATGTCCTCCAGGGTCATGTGATTTTGGCGGAGTCTCAGCCCCTGACGGACAGGCAGATTCAACACACCTTGTGGACAGAGACTATGGATCTTTCATTTACAGCTGGGAACATGCAAGATTTGCACTCTGATCTAGATATGGAACCCAGCAGCCCTACACGTCTTTTGAGGAACATCGAGAGACAGGTGAATCTAAAACCACTGACATATAGACAAAAGCATAGAAAAGACAAGATAAAAATGACAGTTTTTCATTTAAAACTGATTAAATCAACCCCACTCAGTTCATGTTTGTGTGTGTGTGTGTTTAGAGTGCCCAGCTGACTCAGATTGTAAACAGCTTGATGCCGTCTTTATGTGCCTCTCCTTCCTCATCACCTATGTCTAAAGGACCCTGTAATCGCTGGAGAGGTCAACAGAAAACAGCTTACAGTGGGTGAGAGGCAAACAAGCACCTACAATATCTCACAGGGTCATTCATCAAAAATGTCCAAAAATATAAATTGGGATTAATTTATGTTATTGAAGCACTGGTTGCTAGATTTTTAATTGTTCAAGAAAGTATGTAGATTGTTAGAAGGACATTCACATTAGAGAAAACACTTTTTTGTCACGCTTTTTGCTTTTGACGCGGTATAGATAATTTTATTTAGTCATACGTAAGCTCCAGAGACACCTGAGGGGAAGCAGTGTGTCTTGATTTCATTCATGCATTTCATATTCATTGCAGCGCCGTAGAAGCGCCCTCATTCTGATACATAATTGTGTAAATTTATGTAAATCTTATGTGAATGTCAGGATGAATCATTCAGCCCAGCGAAAAAAAACTGAAAGCACTGAAGAATTAGAAAGAAGGGAGATGAAAGAGTCTGAGTGGAGAAGAGAACCAATGAAACTTGCTCTCTTTATTTGTCATATGATCAGATTTCTGAAGATTTTATCCCTACTTTTGCAGCCAAGTGACACACACGAGTGTCTTTGTTCCCAGTGGACCGCGGTGTTTGCACAAGGCCAGGCAGAAGAGGAAGCGAACATGTCACAGACGACAGTACCTCCCTCAGGTGGACGTCAACTATGTGTCAGCACGTACTCGACCCCTTCTGACCTATCACAAGCCTAGACTTTTCGTCATGGATCCATTGTCTCATAGAGAACAGGTTGGCATTTTAAAGCCAAATTCTTCAAGTGTCAACTTTTAATGAGTTGGCATGGCATAGCATACAGTACTGTTCAAAGGTTTGGGGTTGGTATGATTTATGTTTCTGAAAGAAGTCTCTAATGTTTACCAAGGCTGCACTTCTTTGCTCAAGTAACAGTAAAAACAGTAATATTGTGGAATATTATTACAGTTTAAAGGAACTATTTTCTGTTAATATATTTTAAAATTTCAATTATGCCTGTATTCTCGGCAGCCATAAGTCTAGTCTTCACACAATCCTTCAGAAATCATTATTATCAATGTAGACAACAGTTGTGCCACTTAATATTTTTGTGGAAATTTTTTTTTTTCAGAATTTGTTGATTAATAGAAAGTTCAAAAACAACATTTAGCAAGCAAGTTCAATCAATTTAGTACATCCTTGCTGAAAGTATTAATTTCCTTGCTGACATAACAGCTTTAAAGTGATTGAGTAAAAAAGGCAAAACACAGCTGTATGTGATAATGCCTGAACTAGTGGGAATTGTACTGCTGTGTGCTGTGTCCAACATTTACACTAAGTATATGTGAGTGTGTTTTCCCAACAGTGGAGCTCAGAAAGAAAGAACTAGCTTTTGTTCTGTCCTTTCCCTTGGAAACTGCTAAATGCTAAAGTGCAGTGCTCAGGCCAGCTGCACTTTCATAAATGATGATAATCTTATAATTGCTGTGTCCTCTATGGGCTGCCTGGACCTGTAACTCAGATACTGTATACTTTAGTCTGAACCTAGAAGCAGCAGGATGAAGATGCATTTTCCAAATGGAATGCAATTAGAAGCAATTGGGGGGGGGAACAACAACAACTTTAAATTGTTTAAAGAAACGTTTCAACCAAGAAAGAAAAAAAAAACATAATTTACCTAAGATTTTTAAAAAAAAAACTGCTCTTCTGCATTCGATGATATGTGGTTCAGTGATTCAGGGAGCATATTTTGATTATAGGACTGTTAAGCTTAAAAAATGACAAGAAGATACAATAAAATGGGTTAAGCAATATAACAGGACATTAGAAATTTGCCTTGATTTTGCATATTTGGATTGATTTTGCTGATGAGGTAAATTTAAGAACCATTGTAAACCAAGTCAATTCAATATTATAGTGATTATTTCATTTACTGAAAAATAGTGTGGAAAATGTTATCATATTGAATCTTATTAGTCAAAACAGTTGTTTGTAGCCTAGCATAATAAATCAAACTGGTTTGGAACAACATGAGGGTGAGTAAATTGACAGAATAGTACAGAGTACAGAACTGGTTCTTTAATAAAGCAGTTATTTGTGTGTGTGCCAGCCCTCTTCACATTGCATCATGACTCACACTATGCTCTGAGTCTGTTTTCTAGCTGGTGCCTGGTGCACTTCCTTTAACCTTGTTTATGATTCTTATAGCTGTCTAGTTTTGGCTGCCATGATTTTCCTTTTCATGCATTGCTTATGTTGTAATGGTTCCCCAGAGCACTATGTGTCATAGATTTGGCCTTTATTAACTTGGTTGTTTACATCCACCACTTTTTATTTGTTTTAATGCTCAGTTGGACAAATCAAATCTGTATTCTAGATGCAGATCAGGCCTTTAGCATCAGAAAAAGACATTTGTTTAGTAATTATGCTTTGCAAGATTTGTGTTCTTCCCATTTGCCCATAACTTCTCAAAACCTCCCTGTTTTGGTTATATGCACTACTTCTTTCTCTCTCTCCACAGGTCCTGGAGTCGGCCCCTTCTCTTTGTCCCAATTGTGCATTCTGTGATCCTGCATCTGCGTACACAGATCCTGCATTTCTCCACAGAAAAGACAGAACAGATGGCAAAGTGCATCCTGTTCTATCACTTTCCTCAGGTAGAGAGAGATGAATGCATTTTGTTTAAACTTCTCCGTCCACCATGTTGGATGGATATTTTTTCATTGAGCATGTCGCAATGCTTTGTAGATTACCTTCTTCTCATATGTAGGCAGCTCACTAGGTTTTGGAGAAGAGCTTATTTAAGCAGTAGAAAAGTGTTCATACTCTTGCTGAGGTAAATGGTTGTTATGATTTTAATGGTTAATACTACAGCAATCCATTAATCACTCATCTATTTCACTGCATCAGGCTGTCATTTCAATTCAGTCAGAATAAATGGTCTCATATCAGACAGTTACTCCATCAGCATGCCAAAACTGTGCAGTTCCTGCTGTTTTACTGATTTGTGTAGCAGCAGGAATGTGGAGTAGGCATATCAAATTAGCCTTGGTTGTCATCTGTATGAAACCTCAGCATTGAGTTCATACTTTAATATGACTCAAATGCAACATCCAGACATTTTGTTTTGAACAAAATGTTTTGACATTTTGACAAGGTATTTATAACCATAGCCTTATATCACCACAGTGAACTGTTGTTTTTCTTTTGTTTGTGTTATATAAGTGAGGTTTGTCTTTGTCTGTTCTATTAATCAGAAACTCCATCATCCTTCCATCTGCAAAATTCTCTCTTTGAGGAAAGTTTGCTTCCGCGATCTCTCCTCCTGGAAACTGAGCGCACCAGTCCCCATCACTGTCTTCGCTCCAGAGACAGAGTCTCCCGGTCTTTATTCCGTAAGTCATCTCATGGCGTTTGTGTGTGATGCATGAACACATGTACTGAAAACACAGCTGATTGAACACAGCACACAGCAGTAAAAGTCCCACTAGTTCAGACATTATCACATAGGCTACAGCTGTGTTTTGCCTTTTTTACTTAAAGGGGTCATATGATGTGATTTCAATTTTTCCTTTCTCTTTGGAGTGTTACAAGCTCTTGGTGCATAAAGAAGATCTGTAAAGTTGCAAAGACTAAAGTCTCAAATCCAAAGAGATATTCTTTATAAAAGTTAAGAGTCAACCAAGCCTACCTAAAACGGCTAGTTCTAACACGCCCCCACATATCTACGTCACGATGTGGGAAGATTTGCATAACGCCGCCCAAATGTTCACGCAAAGAAAGAAGGCGTAACTTTTATTCTCGCTGTAGTATTGTTGCCGCCGCCGCCATGTCGTGAAGGCACTGTGTGATTCGCGCAAGCCCGCCGGACGCTCCTTTGTCGAATCCACCGGCCGCGCCATTCTCAAGCCCACCGGCCTCTGCTCACTCTAGCTTTCCGGCCGTTCCTCACTCTAGCCCCCGGCCTCTGCTCATTTCTAAATTAAAAACACACCTCATGCTGTTTAGTTGATTTTCTGTCAGCGCTTTGCAGCACCCCTGGAGTAAGTGAACGAACTACAAAAAATAACTACAAAAGCACTGAATGGAAAACGAATGCCAGGAATATTTTCTTCGCAATCACCTCATGCTCCCTCCATTCCTGTTTTCATTACATCACCTGGATGTGTATGATCTTTAAATGTCAGTTCTTCTGGAGTCCAGTGTGTGGGTCGTGTGTAGGCTGCTGGGTGGGTTTAGTCATAGTCTTGTGGTGTATTATCTCTGTGGCTCAGGCGGTCTATCCACAGTCCTGCAGCTTCCAGACCGAGTGGAGATCAACACAGACTCACAAATCCAGCCTGAAGGCACTGCACACACCTACACACACACTAGTGACTTTCAGTGGGGTCAAATTATTTATAGGCTAAATATATTTTAGTCTTATAGCCCCCTTAGGATTTCCATCTCCTCTTTTTATCAATATTGTTAATACAGTTTCAAATGATTGCCAGTCTTTATGCACTTTATGCAAAATATCATTTCTTTTTTGGATGTGATCTTGAATGAATATTCTATGTGTTCTTATCAATATACCTGTTCTGATAAGTAGGAATATGTGTTTATGTTCTATAATTAATGATTGCAGATTGCAGTCATCAGCCAAAAAACGGGAGGCATTTGAAGAGGCACAGAAGGGAGAGCACTCCTATACGATGGGCACGCACCCGAGACCCCCACAGTCAAGATTACAGGGAAGGCAAGAGGAGGCGGCGCTGCTCTGAGAGGACAATGGGTATGGATGTTTAATTGCCCTTGGTGTTTGACTTATATACACCACAGATGTTTAAGGTAGTAATACTGCTTTGTTTTAGACATCTCCAGTATTACACCCAAGTCTGATCTGGTCTCCCAGAGTGATGACAGTCAGGTGGAGGAATCTCCAGAGGATGTGACCGTCTCTTACTGTACCCCCACACAACAGAGAAACTTACAGGTCTGCCCTTTGACCAAACCTCTTGATAAATACTGTATATTTCAATTTGCGCTAATCCAAACATAGATCAATGTTCCTTTCCTTGAAGGGAATGTTTGTCTACTTGAAGGTTAATATTTTGAGAAAGATAATCATATACTGTCCTTTTTGTATACTGTAGTTCTCATCACGCAGGAGAAACTCTGAGAATATTTTCAGCATTGATGACATTGTCGTTCCTATGTCTCTGTTCGCATCAGTGAAAGTGGAAAGACTTCAGTATAAGAACATTTTGACACCCAGGTATTGATTGTTTTCACACTCAGCAATGACATCGGATAGACATCAGTACCTTTTTATATTGCAGGAGAGCTACAATACTGTTCAAAAGTGTGGGTTGGTACTTAAATAGGAGAGCTGATTCCTCTTTATAAATCATGTTAAACCCATTAGGAACATGCTGTGCCCCTTTATATAATTTGAAATGCATGGGTCTCAGCTTATATAGATTACTTTTCTTACCATAATTTATCTCCACTGCCTTCAAACGAGTTGTCTTCATCTCTTCTTCCCTTCTCTTGTCTTCATGTTCTTTCCACTAAGTCAGTAATTTGTATTTTTTTCAACTTAAGACATTTTTTTTTTGGTGTTGGTAAGATTTTTAATGTATTTTAAAGATAATTCTCCTATGCTTACCAAGGCTACATTTATTTGATAAAAAATACGGTAATATTGTAAAATATTATTACAATTTATTTTATATTTTAATATATTTTGCGATTTATTTCTGAGATAGCAAAGCTGAATCTTTCAGAAATCATTCTAATATGCTGATTTTGGGGCAAAAGAAACATTTGAAGAGTTCATTTGCAAAAAAACGATAACTCGATATCGTTTCAAATATCGTTTTGATATCGATATCAAAAACCATGTTTTTTCATTGTGCATTCCAATTAATCTCAATCAAACTGCAGTTGTGTTATTTTGATTAGGTTAAAAAATAGCTAAAAAAATACAGCTAACACAATAAAAACATGCTAACATAATAAAAAAACATGATAAAAAAAAATGGAGTTATGTTTTTGCAAATAAACTCTTCATTTCTTATTTTCAATGTTGTAAACGTTGTGCTGCTTAATTTTTTTAAATACTTTTTTTCTGGATTCTTCCATGAATTAAACCCATTAGGAACATGCTGTGCCCCTTTATATAATTTGAAATGCATGGGTCTCAGCTTATATAGATTACTTTTCTTACCATAATTTATCTCCACTGCCTTCAAACGAGTTGTCTTCATCTCTTCTTCCCTTCTCTTGTCTTCATGTTCTTTCAGTAATTTGTATTTTTTTCAACTTAAGACATTTTTTTTTGGTGTTGGTAAGATTTTTAATGTATTTTAAAGATAATTCTCCTATGCTTACCAAGGCTACATTTATTTGATAAAAAATACGGTAATATTGTAAAATATTATTACAATTTATTTTATATTTTAATATATTTTGCGATTTATTTCTGAGATAGCAAAGCTGAATCATTCAGAAATCATTCTAATATGCTGATTTTGGGGCAAAAGAAACATTTGAAGAGTTCATTTGCAAAAAAACTAAAACTCGATATCGTTTCAAATATCGTTTTGATATCGATATCAAAAACCATGTTTTTTCATTGTGCATTCCAATTAATCTCAATCAAACTGCAGTTGTGTTATTTTGATTAGGTTAAAAAATAGCTAAAAAAATACAGCTAACACAATAAAAACATGCTAACATAATAAAAAAACATGATAAAAAAAAAAAATTGAGTTATGTTTTTGCAAATAAACTCTTAATTTCTTATTATCAATGTTGTAAATGTTGTGCTGCTTAATTTTTTTAAATACTTTTTTTCTGGATTCTTCCATGAATAGAACATTCAAAAGAACAGCGTTTATTTGAAATAGAAATCTTTTGTAAATTATAAATGTCTTTACTGTCAATTTTGATCAAATGAATGCATCCTTGCTGACTAAAATGATCAATTTCTTTAAAATTATTTCTGACCCAAAACTTTTGAATGGTAGTGTATCTGAGTGCTAATATGATGTTAGTTTTACCGTTTAACTCCCTTTATATAGTTAGATTTATCTTAAATAAATCTCTAGATTTAACTATTTAATTCAGTTTATGTAAAACTAGGCTTTATATTCAAACCATTTTTGTATTAAAATGCCAGAGAAAAATAACTATATAATGATGTATATCAATACTGTGATGTAAGCTTTTGCTCCTACCGCCTACCCATAGAGTGCTTGATAGATTGTCAATGAGTCACATTTAGTAACTTGGCTGACGCATAAAGATGTGGATGAATTCATTTAGATTTTTCAGTTTTTTTTCCCTTTCCTGTATTCCATTGTCTTGACTCTTGTCAGTTGGCGAAAGGTCTATATTTTGCCTTTATTGAAAAGAGAGGAGGATAAGCAGGAGGAAGAGATGGTTGGTTTGTTTTTTTTACATTCTTGTAAATACAATCTCTCTGTAGGCCATAAAAATGGTGAATGTCAGCAATTGCAGGGTGTTGTTGTGGAGTGATGTGCTTTATCTTTCTCAGCCAGAAGCAATAGGAGACCAAGATTTCTTTCAGTAACTTGGCTGACGCATAAAGATGTGGATGAATTCATTTAGATTTTTCAGTTTTTTTCCCCTTTCCTGTATTCCATTGTCTTGACTCTTGTCAGTTGGCGAAAGGTGGATATTTTGCCTTTATTGAAAAGAGAGGAGGATAAGCAGGAGGAAGAGATGGTTGGTTTGTTTTTTTTACATTCTTGTAAATACAATCTCTCTGTAGGCCAAAAAAATGGTGAATGTCAGCAATTGCAGGGTGTTGTTGTGGAGTGATGTGCTTGATCTTTCTCAGCCAGAAGCAATAGGAGACCAAGATTTCTTTCAGAGGCACCAGAATTATGAGCGTAGAGAGAAACTCCGCTGGTCCTGCTGGGATCAGGACAGAAGACACAGGATCAGGTCTGTGTGTATTTTGGTTTATTGTAAAGCTATCTTATTGCACATATATTCTTCAGTGCATATTTTCTGATTTTTTCCCCCCACAGGTCATCCAGGAAAAGCTGCTCTTCTGTATCTGTGAGAGACCATCCTGCTCACTGTCACCCGCCTGCACATTCTCCTGTTCCCTTCACCTGGACCTTCAGTATTTCTGAAGATTCACCAGAAGCCAGTGTGGATGAAAAAGAGGTCAAACCTTCTTAGTAGTGAACAATTAAATATTAAATCAAATTAAATCTGTCTTTCTCTCAAGCTTGTATTCATTATTTCTCTCTTATGTAGCCAATGCAACCATGGAGGAGACGTACGTTCTCCCTGACTGATGAAGATGAGGACACTTTGAGGCCTGATGAAGATAAGAGTTTTCTTTAACTGTACGTCCTTATTTCCTTTCCTTGTGTCTTTTATCCTTCCATTTATGAGGCAAGGATGCAAGATTGAGAGGTGAGAAAGGCTCAAAGTAAGGATTTCAAATCAGAGTCATGTTTCTTCACCATCCTTATCTTGTTGGAGCTTGATTCATCTGGATATTTCTAATAGATCTTTCTCTTATGTAGCCAATGCAACCATGGAGGAGACGTACGTTCTCCCTGACTGATGAAGATGAGGACACTTTGAGGCCTGATGAAGATAAGAGTTTTCTTTAACTGTACGTCCTTATTTCCTTTCCTTGTGTCTTTTATCCTTCCATTTATGAGGAAAGGATGCGAGATTGAGAGGTGAGAAAGGCTCAAAGTAAGGATTTCAAATCAGAGTCATGTTTCTTCACCATCCTTATCTTGTTGGAGCTTGATTCATCTGGATATTTCTAATAGATCTTAAAGGGTTAGATCACCCAAAAATGAAAATTAGGCTGCTTTTTACTCACCCCCGAGGCATCCTAGGTGTATATGACTTTCTTCTTTTAGACGAATCCAGTCAGAGTTATATTAAAAATTGTCTTTGATCTTTCAAGCTGTTTAATGCCACTCAGCGGGTGTTGCATTGCTTCAGTCCAAAAGAACTTAAATAAAAATCGCCCATCCATAAAAAAAAGTGTCTCACACTGCTCTGGGGGGTGAACAAAGGCCTTCTGTAGCGAATCGATGCGTTTTTTTAAAGAAAAATATCCATATTCAAAACGTAATAATCTCTTGAATCTAGCTTGCGCTCACTGTTGTAAACGGAAGCAGTTCCGGGGGAATGACGTATGAGGTCAGCTTTGTGCATGCGCCGCTCAGAAGTGAGTGCTCAGAAGTCAGAAGTGCTCGCACGCGGAAACACAGCAGAGAGATCAAAACAAAACAACGGTCAAGAATTAGAAGTACAAAACGAGGATTTGTAAAGAAGAATGTCAGAGGATTTCGATATAAACCAAGAGGAGACTGGTTTTCCTTTGCTAAAGTAAGGAAACTTTGCTTCCTTTGATCCTGTAAACAAACATTGGTTTTCACGAGACTCACCAGCGCATGCGCAACGCCGACCTCATATGTCATGCTCCCGGAACTGCTTCTGTGTACAACTGTTGGCGCAAGCTAGATTCAAGTGATTATTACGTTTTGAATATGGATATTTTTCTTACAAAAAACGCATTGATTCGCTACAGAAGGCCTTTGTTCACCCCCCGGAGACGTGTGAGACACTTTTTAAAAAATTTTATGGATGGACGATTTTTATTTAAGTTCTCTTGGACTGACGCAATGCAACACCCGCTGAGTGGCATTAAACAGCTTGAAAGATCGAAGATAATTTTTAATATAACTCCGATTGGATTCGTCTGAAGAACTGCCTTGGGGGTGAGTAAATCGCAGCCTAATTTTAATTTTTGGGTGAACTAACCCTTTAATAAAACTAGACAACTCCCTCTAGTCTCCCTCAACTCCCTAGAAGTGCCATAACTCCCTCTGTTGGACACACTAAGAATAACATGCACATACTACAGTCACTGCCCTGAGTGTAAAAAAAAGTGTCATTTTATTCAGGAGGATGCATTCATTTAAATTGACAAATAAATTCTGATCTTTTGACCCCAGTTATTTTAAATACTTCCTTGGTGAGCATGAGAGCATCTTTTAAAAACATTAAAAAGTCGTATCCACCCCAAACCTTTAAACAATAATGTAAGTCATTTCAGATTAGTATCACATTTAGAATCAGAGTAGGTTTTTGGACTTTTTACAGAAGGACGTGAGAACTAAAATGCACAATTACAGTTTTTACAGATTAATCTGAAATGAGATTACATTGTGTTGAAATGCAGTGGAGAAAAATAATGTTTTTCTTGCTTGTCATTGGTTTGACTGATTATTATGTGCTGATTACAGACTTCCAGAGCACCAAAGTACAACATCTGAGGTGGACCAGGAAATGACATCACACTGAGGCAGAATCTCAGCCATCATGGTTGTACTCTGTGTCATAACTTTTTAAATGCTGAAAGAGTGATTTTTACAACAATGTTGTAACAGATATTTTTTTCATTGTTTCCTCAGTCTCATTGAGTATTTTGTTATAAATTATTTTTACATTTTAAACAGTACACTGTATCATACTGTCTTTTCCACAGTATAATTTATTAAATGTCTTAAGCCAGCCCCTTAAAAGTATCATCTCTAACAAAATAGGTTGCATAAATAATGCAATGCTTTATTTATTTCAATATAAGTACAGTGTATTGCTTTGTGTTCACATTTTTGAAAAAACAGAACAAATGGTTTATGATTTTACTATAAATCTCATCTTTTACTATAATTTATCCAGTACTGTGGGAGAAGCACTGTGTTGGAAAGGTGTGTAAATTTACCTCATACTGCATTAAATTGATTTAGACTGCCACACTTAGAAGTTAACAATCTTCCTTTATCACATTGTATTAACACAATGGAGTCATTATTAATTGAGATTAAATATTTCAGATATTTCAAATTTCCTATTAAACACAACTCCGTGTCAATGGAGGAATAAAATAAGTTAACATCTCAAAAGCTGTCTACCATTTTGGGGGAAAAAGTGCAACATATATAAATTTGCAATTTATATGAATTGATTCTGAACCCAGATTGTTTCGTTAAAGGCAGAGTAAGCGATTTCTGGTAGCCAATGTTGATATTTGAAATCACCAAAACAAACACGCCCCTACCCCAAAAGGGTCTTGCCCCTATTTTGATAGCTTCGCTCCACATATACGTACGCAACCCAGGCAACGATTAGTTCTGTGAAACAAAGCAAAACCAATGTTACACCGTGTCTATGGACGTGATTGGCGCGGCGCAACAAATCCCTGACAGAAAACTGCTGCCGGGTTCTATTTATGACGTGCTGACACAAATTTCAAATGGTTTTCAACGGTCGTTTGATCACGTCCAGTGTAGGCAGACTTTAGCTGTTGTAGACACGGTGTTACTCACCTATTGAGAAGAAACAAAGCAACCTCTGCGTCCGATCGCAGGCCTCCGCTCCTTGAGTTCTCTCCAGCGCTGGAAAGCTGATCCGATATTTACACGGGTCCTACTTCTTGCCTTATCGTTTCCTCTTTTGTTTTTTATCCGCCATCGCTATCTTTCTGTCGTTCGGCTCGGCTAATGTCCGTCCCATGCACTGAAAGCTCTCTCCTCCACATCACGAGTAGACACGCCTCTTATTGCTGATTGGCTACAAGTTTGTTTTGCTATTAGGCCCGAATCAGTTTTCTAAAGTGTTTTTGAAAAATCACATACCCTGCCTTTAACAGGCACAAGTACCAGTATGCAATACTTATATCAACCACAGAGGGGCACTAATACACCGCATCTGCTCCTTAAAATTGCATTTGCAAGAAAACAGCCTGTTAGTGGCAAAGTGGAAAAAACAGGAAACTACTTGTAAACACTGTAAACTACTTGATGATTCTTCCCAGTCTGTGTGTCAAGCTTTGACAGCTCAAAATCCTATTGCATTGATCCTGAGTGTGTGTGTGCGTGTGTGTGTACAGGGCTTGTGGATGTGTGTGTGTAGTCTTTGATCTCTTTCAGCAGTAAGCTGATTAGGCCATCTCACAAGCAGCCCTCACTCACTGGGGAAAGGCTAATTGGCTATAAGTAGGGGTCAAGGTTACTGCCTGTCCATGAGATAGGGAAGATATTATCTCACTTGCTTTCCTTCGTCTAGCTCAATGACTTTCACCCTGGTACAGCACTTCTTAAAAGTCTGAACACTCCTCACAACATTAGTTTGAAGAATTTTTGAGCTGCCTTTTTAGGCATCCTAATCAAGAAGGATCTGATGGGCATAAAAAGTTTATTTCATCACTGTACTCGCTGCAGTACATTTTGGAATTCCCTATGCCAAGTTAGATACATATGCCTTAGATTTTGACAAAAGCAAGATATATTGGAACAGTCTATGATGCCTTAAAATGCTGGTAAACAGTTCTCTAGGTTTTGGAGCATTATCAGAAACCTTCCTCTTGCAAAAGCTGTCAGAACTCTGTGTTTTGCTGCAGAGTAAGTGCATAGAGCCGGTGTGTGACGCATAGCCACTGTATTGATCCGTGCTGTAGGCCTCTCTTTCTCCCATTCTCTTTTGTTGTGAACTCTGAGAATGGAGATCATTATGTATAGCTCCAGTGAGCGGCTCAGGGATTTACTTCTACCAGCAGGGGGAGTTTTACAGGGATTTTGATGCAGTGCTCTGATATGTACTGGAGCAGATGTATCACTTTGTGTAGTGAACTTAAATGAGAACTTGTATTGTCAATGAGAATTTGTAACAAAGTACTCATAGACCCTACCAATGTTGTTAAAACAACAAAAACTGCTGAAATAAAATACAATATACATATTAAACAAAAAGCATAAACTTAAAAAAACTTAGCAAAAATGAGCAATGTTGCCTTTGCAACTAACTGAAAAATTTAGAAGTACTAAAATTGCTAAAACTAAAACTGAAATAAAAATTAATTAAAGCAACAGAACTATTTTAAAAGCAAAACAATACAATATATATTATATTTATTTAATATTAAATATTAAATAAAAAAATTAAATTAAAACTGAAAACATATTCACAGACACTACTAGTGTTGATAAATCTAAACATATAAAAGTGAGACAAATAAAAGTAATGCTGAAATAAAATAAAATATTAGCGAAAAAGCAAACTTAAATTATCAATGTTGCTTTGGCAAATAACCAAGTTAAAGTTAAGTTAAAGTATTGACTAAAATTACAGCTTAAAATGAAATAAGAAATAAAGCTAAATAGAACCATTTAAAAGCAAAACAAACAAAAAACATAAAATTAAAATTAAACCTAAAAATATATATATTCTCTCTCACACACACACACACACACACACGTTGTTAAAACTCAATTTAAATTGTTGAAAATGTTTGAAAGTAAACAAAATATATGAAAACAAAGTATACAATCGAATTCAAAATATTAATAAATATTAGTATTTTATTATTAATTTTATAGTATATAAATAATACTACAATTACACTGCACTCTAAATCTAACATTTTTGGACATTTGTTCAATCCACATAATTTATAGCACCAATATACTGTGAGTGTCAATATATAGAAAATATACAAATAGAAAATATTTGATAGCAGATAAACAATTTTCCCCCTATATTTTAATTACTTTTGGTTGGCAATAGTAGTGATTGGTGTAATTGAAGGGTTCATTCTCTTGAGAGTTTTCTGTCTGCACACTGATCTGTCAGAAACGGTTGATATAACCGGACTCCTGACTGCTGTGGGAGACAGAGATGACAGAAATCATACACTAACTCCTCAATCAAATACTAATGCACGCCCAAGTCTCACCCCCATTTGCCTGTCTTGGAAGCAGGGCTGTCTCCATAGTGATAAGGGCTCTTGATGCGCACTGGGCCTTCATTCAGCTTTTCTAATTTAAGGAAGTGGAGAGGATGGAAGAGCGTCTCGTTTCTTTGAGTGTCTCTCTCACTTTGCCTCCACTATATTTTTGTCTCTATGACAACATGAGTCAAACAATATCTTTTTAATTTCGCTTTGTAACACTGCCAAGTTTCTGAGGTTTGAAGGGTGGCGTCTGTTTACTAAGCTGGAAAAGAAAACCCATTGTGACTATCAACTAAAACGTACATTAGTGTAAACATGTCAGGCGTTTTAACTGGCCTCTCGAGGTTCATTCATAATTTATAGGTCTCTAATTTTCCCCGGAGATGAATGTGGTTACATTGAGTGTGAGATTCTGTTGCCTGAAATTTGAGACATGTAGTTAAGTGAGGGTGTGTTACATGCTCCTAAAACTACCAAGGGTTTGCCTTTATGTCCAATTGAAGATCTCACATGTAGTAAAAAATGAAAATGGTATTTATATATATTTTATACACTACATAAATATACACTACCATATAAAAGTGCGGAGGTGGTAATATTTGTTTCTTCTTTTTTTATTTTTTTTAAAATAAAATGATATTAAAATCCTTCAGAATTCATTCTGATATGCTGATCTGGAGCTCAAGAAACATTTCATACTATATAAAATGTTAAAAACAGTTGTGATGTTTTGTGGAAATCTTGCTACATTAGTTTTCAGGATTTTTGATTAATTAAGAGTTCAAAACAGCAGCATTTATTTGATTTTTTTTGTAACGTTATAGATGTCTTTACTGTCACTTTTGATAAATGTAATGCATCCTTGCTGAATAAAAGTACCAATTCCTTTAAAAAAACGTACATAAATATTCTACATATATACGTTTAAAATTTTCATTATTGCACATCCGAACATAATTGTTATTGAAATTAATGAATATATATGTAATACATATATACAATATAATTTTACTTAATTATATAATGATGATTTTTGAAGAATGTTGCAATATTTTAACACCTAATTCAGCGTTGTTATTTTGCCTCGATAAATTGTATATAGTTTTTCTCTGGACGCGCATTACACTGCAGCAGTTACATTGGCACGTCCACACTGTGATTTACGGTAATCATTCAGTAGTGGGCGGAGTTACGCGGCAGTGGGCGGGGTCTAGTGTGGGCGGCTCTTCACCACCGGCGCTCACTGCGCTCCGAGAGAAGCCTGCAGCGGACGCAACACGCCGTACAGGTAAACCGCTATATTTCATTATTTACAGAAAGCCATGATATCGAGTTTAAACTGTCAGCACGATTTGCATATGTATTTTTACACATTCTCTGAAGTTCTCTGACACGCTGCTATTTCAATTCCTCTAATCCGCGCTTTTGAAGATGTTAATGGGACAGATAATCCTTATTGCTTGAGAAGGGACGCATTGTTCCATTCAGTGCAATGGTGCTGATATAGACTGTAGGCTACTTCAGGTTGCTAGATTATATATAACAGTCATTATTTCCTTTAGATACGATTCTTAACTTTTGAGAATGTGTACCAACTTCACTTCATCTGTTTAAAAATGCTTCTTTGTACTGAAATCTTATTGATTTCATCTCACAGTTTTAGTCTTTATCTTTAAGAGAGTGTATTCTTAATAAAACTAATCTGATCTGCATATGAAAAGGAGGAGACCTGGTCAAAGACATGATTTGGTTTTGTCGCAGAAGAGATTTTGCAGTCCAGCAGAGATGGTGCTGAAACAACAGCTACCCAGTATTAAGCACCGCTGAGGTATTCTGCACCAAAACATCCTTTTATTTTATCAGTACTGATTTTGATGTCCTAATTTTTATGTATACATCTCTGCTGAATTGTCATATATATGGTTGTGGTTACCTTTGATCAGTGTGTTTTAAACACCTGCCATCAAATGCTATGCTGAGAAAGATCAGAATCAGTTCATGCTTTACACACCATCGCCTTGAGA